GTGTCGTAATTTCCCGAACGCTGCCCAGCCGAGTTGAATCCGTCGATTGACCTCTCGGTCGAAGTTGGACTTACCTAGTCGGACTATTTGTCCCAGGTAAACGTACTCGTCAACAACTTCGAGTATAGTGCTCCCAGCAATCACCGGCATAGGTGTGACACGGACATTAAACATGATCTTTGTTTTGTCCATGTTCATCTTAAGACCTTATCCGTTGGGAGACACCATTGAGGTCATTGAGCATAGTGCTAAGGTCCTCCGGCGATTCTGCCATAAGGACTATATCGTCGGCAAATCGAAGGTGAGTGATGTACTCGCCATTGATCTTAATACCGTATCCTTTCCAGTCCAGTAGCTTGAAAACGTCTTCCAACGCAGCGGTGAAGAGTTTCGGGGATATAACATCACCCTGTCTTACACCTCTCTGCAATTGGATAGGTTTCGTACTCTGGTTCTGTACTCGGATAGACATCGTAGCCCTACTGTACAAACACTTCAGCACTTCAATATACCGACAGTCAACTAGGCACCGCTGAAGAGACTGTAGCACCGCCCAAATTTCGACGGAATCAAAGGCTCTCTATAGTCCACATACGCCAGGCAAAGTGACAGTTTGTACTCTTCGGACTTCTGTACAATTTGCCGAAGGGTATGTATGTGGTCTATGGTACTGAAGCCTTTTCCTTTATTTGTTAACTTGTTTCAATTCATAGTGGTTGTTGATAATTCTTCTTAAAAGTCTGTTCACCAAAAGAGGGTGCATCTTGACCTTATTATTTCTCCTACTTCAAAAATTTACGGCGATTGAGAAAACATATACTGAAAGACGTAAGCACTGTATACGAAACGGCAATGGCAGAAAATTTCTAATATTAGGTTAGTGCAGATCTTGTTGATCGAAGGTGCACAAGCGACAATCGTATTTTCTCAGATTCGGATCACAGTGCACAATCGACTTCCAAATTCTATCTGAGTTTTCTAGATGTGTGTTTACGTTCGGTTGGGATGCAGTGCGCAAACGGTTTTACGATAAAAACCAGAGTAACCGATATAGCCCAATCGATCTAAATATGCTGAAGCGGCAATGGGTCCATATCTATATCAATAGCTATATGAAACGACAACTGAAGAGAAAAAATGTGTTGCCACACCGCATGCCGGTACGATGTTACCGAAAAGCGGAGTGTAGAAAAGCTCCCACGAAGATGGAGTTAAAGGCTGGTAAGACATTTCAGGTTGGTAGTCAATGAATACAGGTAGCTCAGGACTGTTCTTTGTTACATTACTTTGTGTAGACCTATGATAAGCAGTGTATTTTTAAAGGGTTGTAATGATGATCAAGATGATAACAATGACGAAGATAGTGAAGAAATGTTTTCTAAAATAAGAGATAACAAGGCAAAAGTACGAATATAGTTACTACAGGACTTATGAAATGCTTTTTTTTTGCGCCCGAAGCAATTGGAAAGGGCTACCCTTTATGTAGGGAGGCGGAAAATGCATTACGCATACCACGATAGCCGGTCTATCGTGGTTATGAGGGACTCACTGCCTACCGGGGGAACCTAAGTGATACCCTCTAAAAACCGCCTTTGGGGACTGGCAACTGGCTGTTTAAGCTTCTTATGCCGTATCGGAAGCGACCCTCTTTTGGGAAAAGACGGCGCAGAACGCTTTTTTTAACGCTTTTTTGTAATCTGAGCTTTGTTGGACAAAGTGGATAAAAAGATCGAAAACAGATAGACTTTTGAGATATCGATCTTTTATACCTCGATTTTTTATGAATCGCTTTATTTGTTTTCGATTCCAATTGATTTTTAAATCAAAAATCGATCTATTTCGTAAAAAATCGCCATCCCTACTTTCAATGCAAACCTAAGTCTAACAACAAAATACTTATTTCACTAAACGTTGAAATATGTTTATATTTATTTCCAGCAACCGAGATCAAACGGAGTATTGCTCACCCACACTTTAACCGAGACGATTTTAGTAATAATATCGGACTTTTAGAACACATTATTTCAGTTCCAATACATCAGTATACCTGTAAGTTTAGTTAAACATTTTTCTAAAGCCTGATGTTTGTTTATCATGATTTTTTTTCAGCAGAAAAAATCTTAAGGTTCTAAATAAATATGAAAAATCTGTGTCTTCATACACAAAGGGAAATTCCTTAGTATTTTTTTTACTTATAAGTCAGTTTTGTATATAATTACGTCTACTGGTAAGTACTGATGAATCTCTGCAGCTATGAATGCCTTGAAGATTTCTACATTGGACGGTAAGAAGACGCTTGCAAATATATAAAAAAGAATAGTCGAATAACTGGGTTTTCTTACCATTCAGCTAAGTAACTTCTAGTATAAATATAAGAAATGAACAATACAGAAGAGATTACTGCGATCCCTGCCGAATGATGACCTTCACTAGAGTTACATGGTGGCTGGGGTCTTCTTTTCTGTTTTTGTCAATTTTTTATTAAGAATTTTGGCTTGGATAGCGATAAAACATTCGTCACACTGCGTAGTTTTTGGGAAATTTTGACGACAGCTCAACCCAGCGGACAGTTGTCTAAACGATCAAAATAACTCGATGTTTATATCACCATAGAAGCAATTGTTTTATCGTTTTCTCTAATATTTCACATGACAGACAATACACATATTCTATTATAATGAAGTAGTTTTTGATATTTTACTTATCAAAAACTACTCCAAAATATTATTTAAACCATAAAACAGGAGTAATAATCCGTCGATGGTCAAGTTTCCGCCAAAACTCCTAAGTTTCTCAATCCTAACGATTAGGAAAAGCGATGGGTTTGATCATAGAGCTCTATTAGGTACCTCGGTTTTGTATGATGTGGACAAAATGCGAAAGTGTTGCGCAACGATTACGGTATTTTTAATCATTTGACAGAAACTTGAAGCTGACAGAAAAGTACCCAAATTCTAAGTAGATGTGTAATTTTCAAGGGTGTGAGAATTTGCTAGAATTGTCAATTCGCTACCACAACATTCCGCGAGACATCTTACCTATGTGCTGACAAAACTCTGGTGGCTGTTTACGGCGGAAATACAATTACAAAAATGCCAAACACAAATTTCGCAATCGCTCTAGTAATACTGTATTTACCAATACGCCTTTAATATTCATTAACATGTGTAACTTTTTATGGTTATCCCTATCTAAAAAAATTACAGATTATACTAACGTATACGTGTTAGGTGAAAGCTAAGAAATATACAATAGTTGCCTATTTTACTTACCCTTTTTTTTAAATTACGCCCTCCTTCGGGGAGTGGACACTATCGTTTATTATAATGTTAATGGATTCCCACAGTGATTTATTCATTCACTCACTCTGTGGCCGTGAAAGGAAAAGGGGAGATCTCCCGCCGGGCAAGGTGTTCTGCCCGGGGAGCGGCCAACGCTCCATGTGATAGTTCGGAGATGTTCTATATATGCTGTTTATGATTGGAATAGCGTGATTTGAGCTTCGGTGTGTTTCGCTTGCGGCGCGACGACAGCGCCGCCACATCACCCCCCTGCTCAGACCGGAGGTCGATAGTGCAGTCCGATTGCCGGTGTGTCCTTTTAATGCCGGTGGGGAATGCATGCTGTGTGCGTAAGGGCAAGTGACACCGGTGCGAATAATATGCCGATGTGTAATGCATGCCGTACTACGCACTGGCAAGTGATGCCGGTGAGAACGATGTACCGGAGCAAGTGCCAGAAGTCTGCCTTATAAATCTGCGGTGAGTCGAGATGAAGACAAGTTGGACTGGCTTGCAGAAACTGAAGACTGCAGATGAAGATTCTCAGGAGTGAATGGTAGCGGTTATTGAGGATAATGACGAAGGCTTGAAGTTGTAGTTTCCTAAGGTGTTTGGATTGCGTGTTCAGATCACGTCGGAGTCACCACTGTGGCCGTGGAAAGGAAAAGGGGAGATCTCCCGCCGGGCAAGGTGTTCTGCCCGGGGAGCGGCCAACGCTCCATGTGATAGTTCGGAGATGTTCTATATATGCTGTTTATGATTCGGAATGTTAATAGCGTGATTTACTTCGGTATGGCGCCGCCACAACTCCTTACAGCCCATCCCAAGTCCTCTGCTAAAACTACCATATTATATTAGCTCATAGTTATATATATATATAGTCCTATGAAAAATATTTAAATTTGCAAAAAAATTGTGGGTCAGTCATGGGCAAAAAAAACTATCCTATCTCTCAAGTTGGACCAAACTGCACACGGTGTGCAAAATTTGATTAAAATCGGTTAAGTAGTTTCGGAGTCCATCGCGGACAAATAACGTGACACGTAATTTATATAGATATATATATAAATATAATTATTATATATATATATATATATATATATATATATATATATATATATATATATATCCTCATCGATTTCGATGACGGCGACCCTAAGAACTATGGATTTTGCCTAGTTGGCCAGACGAGTTGTAAGTATAGGCGTAGGAAGGCTTAATTGCTCTTAGCTCTTTGCTTAATTGGCGTTTTAAGTTTAGAGTTTTGAAGCGGCTTTCGTTAAATGATTTCATTCTTTCAAAGATGGTAGATCGCCAAGATGACCTTTTTATAGCAAGCTCGTCCCAACACTCAGGGTTCATACCGCAAGCATTCAGGTATCTTTTGAAAACGTTGTTATAGCGCAGATGCTGACCACTATGTTTTCGCGTCACCTTCTGTCATCTCTATTAAGTAGTTATCAAAAAAGAAGCCGCTGCCCTTCACCTGTCCTATTTCCCTCTGTCACGTCTTACGACGACCCACAGGATGACTTGGGGTAGAGAATTCTCTTCTTTGCGATGCTACTACCCATTTAAATATCCGTTTGATAAATTATTTCATAACCATATTTATTTAACATAAAATAAAAATTATACCGACTTTCACTCTTAGTACCTGCTTTTCTTACAGCACTTCCTACACCAAAAAATAATCTTATGGAATTCGGAGCTGATAATATGCATTTAATTCAATGGAATCCATTTACAACGGAAAATAAAGGTACTGTTTAATATGATATAATATTTTATTGTAAACATTAAACATATTCCTACTTAACTTCCATATTAAGCACTGCTGAATATTGGCCTCCACAAGAACTAGCTTTTCAATAAAGCACGGGCCAGCGAGGTGTCAGGTGAATTCATAAGCTATACACATTAATATAAAACATATTTTTGTTTGCTTCATGCAGCTGCCCTTACATTTTGTACCACTTGGAAGCTTTTAATCCAATGGCTGCGTTTGACATATCATAAAGTATACCAGCGATCCGCCCCGATTTCAAGGTTCAGCCATTCCGAAGATTAGTCAGGATATACAGACAGACAAACAAACAAAAATTAAAAAAAATGATAATTTATGTCTTAACAGCGCCTAGATAATTCCCCGAGCTTACAAACCAGCAGACACACACTTCAACTTTATTTATATTTATAGATTTCTTTATAATGATAATATATAATATACTGGATGACCTTTTTTAACGTCTGGAAAAAATACACATGTGAACGGATTAGAAGCCTATAGCACTGATATTTTGCAAAAAATAAAAACAAAATTTTTGAATAAAACGTTTGAAATTTTTTTAACAATTATTTTGCCCTTTGCCCTTAAGCCTGTGACCCTGCGAAGTGACAAGGTCAAAGATGCCTAATAAAATTGTTTTATTGCCGTTCGTAAAGTAGGGTGGATATGATTTGAATTTCGATAGATTTTAATTAATTAATTTATATAATAAAAATATTTTTTGTAAAATATTAGTGCCATAGGCTTCTACTCCGTTCACATATTACATACCCTATTTTTTCCAGACGGTAAAAAAGGTATCCAGTATGGTAATTGTAAACCAGTTGTGTCGTCTGCCTCGTTGGTCTAGTGCTCATAAGCGTTAGTCATTACTCTATCGTGGCCCGGGCTGAGCCAAAAATCACTTGTTGAGGTTTCCGTCATGAAATTCTCAGCAGCAACCAGGAGTCAGGAAGTTGGAGGTGTTTCTCCCCAGTGCTTCGAAAAGCTGGTCCTGTACCTGATCACTCTTCGGTTGTTCGATTTGCCATCCCATCGGACTATAAGTGTGCGGAAATAGAGAGTGCACCTGTGCTTGTGCTTATAATCCTGTTCTGCGCAAATTGCTAGTCTCCGTTGAGTACAGCCGCAGTGACCAAAATTCATCGTTTTGAAGGACTTTGCACTGGCAAGTTGTAAAGTACTGATTATACAACTACTTCACTACTGAACATGTACCTCCCATGTCGTAGGAAAAGTTTGCTGTAATTCCCTCTTTTACCCTGTAATGTCGTCTTGTCGTATTTTATATTTGGTATACGGGATAGTTATAGAAGACCATGAAAGCAGTATTACCGAGAGATGGTAGAAGTGGTTGCGTTTAGATGCCCTTTTCGACTATGCAGTTGTTAGGTAGGTATAGGTACTTCGTAAATATAACCAGAATTTTGTATTATCTTCTTTTATCATCAGGTTATAAAAGTCTTCTCAATATCATTTCTCTCTTAAGGTAGATCCAGATTTGTCGTAATATTCACGCTTGGCATATGACTTGGTGATCGCCGTATGTATAAGGTTTGGTCCACAAAAAAATTATTATTTTTCCCTCTTTTTTTCTAAACGCTTTCGTTCGTTCAGCCGGTCTGTCCGGCAATATGTGAACAGTTTGACCTATTTAGGCTCCATATCTGATAAAATATCTAATCCATTTCGACAAAACGGCGTTAACGTGGCATTCAAAACAAACAATTCTCTTAGGAATATCTGTAACAATAAAGATAAGTTTGATATTATTCAAAATTAGGGTATTTACAAACGTTTGTGACAAATGCCACGCCGTTTACGTGGGTCAAACTGGTCGCAACTTCGGGACACGCTATAAAGAGCATTTAGGCGCGTACAGAAATTGCAATCCTGATAAATCCCATTTTGCTAAACATCTCTTGGACACTGGACACAACCTAGCCAACGACCACTCCTTTAAAGTCTTACATACTTGTAATAAAGGGCTGCGACTGTGTGTGCTGGAACAGTTAGAGATTAAAAATAATAATAATGGTAACGTTGCATTGCTGAACTGTGGCGGATTCACACATTTGCCTCCAGTAGGCTATTTAAATGTTGCCGCCCCTACTGATTTCTACAAGTCGACACACACAATCACAATCATATGCATAAGAGTTTTAAACTATTGCATAGCTTCTATCGCGGGCCTTGAGCGGGGACCGAATCCAGAAATTCCGTAACAAAAAAAAAACCTCACGCTCCCCACTCCGACCGGCACGGAGGTGTGTTGAGTGCGTCAAGTCGTTTCTTCGTTCGCTTTTACGTGTTTGTGTGCGTGCGACTAGACGTATGCGTGTACACTAGCTGCTCACTCAATGATAAAAATTCCTGAATAACCTACATGTATCGTAAGATATTAAAAATATTTTAAACAATATTAACCTTCTCATTTATTCAATAAGAGAAAAAAATTGTTTTCTTATCGGTCACCACGCTCAAAAAGTGTAACTTGATTTAATATCAAAAACTTAACTGCATAAATAAAATAAATAAATAATTATAATTGCATAAGTTGATAAAAAATGCTATGCAATAGCTTTACCGCGGCAGTCACCGAGTGCCACACGTATTTTTTTATCAAAGAAGTTATAACGTAATAACTTGTGCACTGTAGTCCTAACTACACCACTTTTTCGCCGTAATTATTATGATTGTGAACTAGGTGATCGATGAGTCAGTTCCTAGATCATTTTTACAACCCAAAGATTTTGTTAAGATTGCACAAGAAATATTTTCTGGGTATATTTCTGAGCTAATAAAAAGCTCAATCATGTTCTACTAATAAGGCGGGATGAGGTATGATTTATTGCTACTTACATTCGGTAAACATAAATAAATAATTTTTATTGCCCTTACACTTTGAAAATAATGTATTCAAATTTACGTGGTAGAGCCATGCTTCAGCTATATTATGGTTGTAGCATGAGTAGATCGGTTCAGTCGAGGAAGGATCCTGCACTCACAGTATACCATCGTAAAATAGCATCTCAACTCTGCTGTGTTTCGTATGGTGAGTATAGAGAACGGAAAACCCTTTTACTGGAAACGAGGCATTCCATCTTAGTCCGCGGGGGTACCAACGTATCTCCATTTTCATCTTAGTCCGCGGGGGTACCAACGTATCTCCATTTTGATTCTCAATCGTTTATGTGTCCAAAAATGTAGACGTCTATGTGCCACAGCATCCTCATCATTATTCTATAAAAAAATTCTAGTAACAATCCGGATTATGATGATGAAATTCAACAAATTAAGTTATGAAAGTTGTGCCGTACCGTCATGCGCGAGTTTTTATTCGCAAAATCATCAATTATTATATCGTGGTATGAAATCTTATTCATTAGCTGACTCTGTGCATAGAAGCCCTAAGGAGTTTAGCTTTTCTTGGCTTATGGTAGATCTTAGATAATTTTTTAGCCGTTTTAATCCACTAAGGCTTCGCTCACTCGAACAATTTGTCTTGGTGTACATAAAGCCATACGAACTGCTGCATCAAAGTTTGGATAAAAGTTTTCCAAATTCATTTTTCGCAAAAACGAAGATAGGCTTTTCAATAATTTTAAATCAGGTTTCACTTTCAGAAGAAAGTTGGCATTGGAAATGTATGCATTGTTGAACTAAATCAGTCTTTAAATCATAAAAATACATTCATCATAAGAATTTAAAGAGTGGGCAGAGTAAGGAATGAAAAAATGTTTTGATTTCCGAGATAATGGCAGAAATAATTTCTTCATCTTTCGTTTTAAAATTTAAATCACTTTATTTCTGTGAGACATACAAAATTAGCTTTAAATTTGCTGCCCCAAATATCTGCTGCCCTAGGCTCCAGCCTACTCAGCCTGCTGGTAAATCCGCCACTGCATAATAGTGGTTATCTGCTTAGGATATACAGATACGAGTCTGCATGCTGAAGATACTTATACGGTCAGCATCCTCCCAGCATTATAACGTTTTACAATTTTACCCTTCAACCTTGTCTATAAAAAACTAGCTAGCTATAAGCTCTATCCGTTACTATTTTATAGAGCCAGTAGTTCCAGTATTATGACTGCAATGCGAGTGACTCGGCTTAACCGAGAAAATGCCACGTTTTCACAGAACATAAGCGCAAAAAAGCCGAAATACACAGACTCTTTTTAAACTGTGACACTGTCATGTTTCGTATGGTGTGTGACCGGAAACACATTTTAATTGTAGAGTACCCGAGGCATTCAGGAGGAGAAACAAAGCTAATAGAAAATTACTATATAACTATTTAGATATACGTGTTTAAAATGCTATATACATTTTGATATAAATTTTCTATCGAAGATTCTGTTCGAATTCAAATTTCCAAAAATAGAATACAAATAGATTAAATTTAATCGGTAGCGCTTGCTAAAGTTATATTGTATTTTTCAAATGAGGTTATTGTTTACAATTGACAGCAGAATCCAAAGTTTATTCGCAATTTTCGGACAAATTCCTTACACTGTCTGTACTGTATCTTTGTAAAAATGCATTGCAAGAAATAAAAACATACATCTACAAATATGGTCACAGGTAAAATAAACAAGATGATATATGCTCACATATTATGTGTCTGGCATTAAGTTTGTTTTGATCAATCATCTTTTTTAGCAACAACAGGGACTCGTATATCGGAGTTATTAGATTCCAGTTGTTGTTACTGAGAGCGCTATCATTCTTTCTGTTCTTAGAATCTTTATTAAACAAAAACAGGATTTTGAAACAGGTAGTTAGCTATGCTTAAGTTAAAGTATTTGAGTCGATAGAGTAACTACAAAATATTGAGTAATGTTTTAGCGTCAATTCTACTGTATTTTTTATATAAGTTACGCAATATCTTCGTTAATTTTAAACAGATTTTCACAATTAGTTTTTATTAAATAGGTAATACCTCTATTCTGTTATGTCTTTGTACAATCAAAAGGTAATTCGAAAGAGTCAAAATCGATTCAAATAATAACCACAACCATTGTTTTATACCCTACCTCAATTGTATTAGTTTGTTATAGATTCTATATCTATTAATGTCTACGAATAAGGTTCAAAAATACTTCTAGGTAATCAGCATCTGGTGGTTAGTGAATGTTGGCAGATGCGTTGTCACCCTTGTGGACAGTGACGGATTAACACATTTGTTGCCAGTAGGCTGTTCAAATTTGCCGCCTCTAACAAGTCGATACCCTAGTTCACAATCATAAGCATTACAATTATTTTGTCCATGAAATTGTAACTTTACGACTTGTGCACTGGAGTCCTAATTACACTACCTTTTTGCCGTAATTAGTATGATTGTGAGCTAGGGGATCGACGAGTCAGTTCCTAGATTATTTTTACAATCCAAAGATTTGGGTAAGATTGCACAAGAAATAGTTTCTTGGTAATTTCTGAGCTAACAAAAGCTTAACCATGTACTACTAAGTATGTTAATAGTAGTAATGGCAGGGTAAGATAGATATGATTTAATGCTACTTACATTCGTAACGTAATTAAATAATTTTTATTGTGCTTACACTTTGAAAACAATGTATTCAATTTTACGTGGTAGAGTCATGCTGCAGCTATATTATGGTTGTAGCATGAATGGATCGGCTCGACCAGAGAAGGATCCGCACTCATCAGAATACCAGTGTAGAATAGCACCGCAACGCTGCTGTGTTTCTTATGTGTAGTGTAGAGATCCCGAGACCCTTTTTTACTCGAAACAAGGCATTCCATCTTAGTCCTCAGTGGTAACAACATATCTGCATTTTGATTCTAAATCGATGATGAATTTATATGTCTATTTGCCACAGTATCCTCTCACCATTAGGTGGACTTGGGCACACAGTCCACCTAATGGTAAGTGGATGCTGTGTGTGATTCGACATCATTATTCTTTAAAATAAAATATCTGGTAACAATCCGGCTGATGATGATGAATAAATAAATAAATAATAAATTAAGTTATGAAAGTTTTGCAATACCGCCTTGCGAGAGTTTTTATTAGCAAAATCATCAATTATAACGTCGTATGAAATCTTGTTCATTAGCTGACTCAGTACACAGAGAGGAGTTTAAATTTTTTAGGCTAGTGGTAGATCATAGATAATTTACCCATTTTAGGCCAGAAAGGCTTCTCTCACTCAAACAATTTGTTGTTGGTGTATATAAAGCCATACGAACTTCTACAATAAAGTTTGTATAAACGTTTTGCAAATTCTTTTTTCGCAACAACGAATATAGACTCTTCAATTATTAAGAATCAGGTTTCACTAAACATCTTCCAGAAGAATAGTGGCATTGAAAATGTATGCATTCTTAAATTCAATCAGTCTCTAAATCATAAGAATACATTTCTTCCAAGAAAAGGGCTTTTTTCGTACTAGTGTATGACGATGATAACAAATCACTAATTTTCCACAAAAATTAAAACTCATCAATGCATCTGTTGTAGGCGTCCTGCCGTTTTTTTAAATTCGAATACGAGTCTATCAACGAGGAAGAGATATATGTTAACCCTTAAAAATAACTCGTATCGTAGTTATTCTCATTTCTTCATCGGGTCCCATGTCTTTTGTAAACTGCTTCGACACGCTTAATTCTAACATTTTTGCTTCGAAATACTTACTAGGTATAGAGATTAGTAAAGATCCACAACAGTGATCAAACCTACAGTACAAACCTTAACTTGAACATTCACTTTGTTTATTCTTTACGTAAAACATTCTACACAACAACCATCACTGTCATTTTCAGTTTTTCTAAATTCAAAAGTATTCCCGTCACTTCACTTCGCGTTGCAGGCTTTTCGGTAAAAGCATCCTTGATTATTTCTTCCAAAGTTTTAAGGACTTCATATCAAGAATCTCTAAGCTTTATTTCTGTGAGACATAAAAAAAACTTTTGCCTCAAATTCGCCGCCCCAAAAATCTGCCGCCCTAGGCTCCAGCCTCTCAGCCTGCTGGTAAATCCTCCAGTGCTGCTTAATGAACAAAAAATGTTTCTAACTCACCTCTATTACGAGTAAACATCTTTAGCGTGGTGCGTAACAGGCAACAGGAAATGAACCAAGAGATGTTCAGAAGCGTCTCCCTAATTCTAGTAACAACTAAAAAATAAAAACTGTGGCTGCCAACCCACCTGCTCAGCGTGGCAACTGTGGCAGAAATTCAGCAGTGGGCTTCTGATAGGCTGTAACGGTGACGGGACGTATGTCGTGGTTAATTCGTTCAAGGTGGGACACGGAGGTAAGCTACATAATATTATGTTGATAATAATTATATCGGAGAGTAAAAGGGGAAATTATTTAAGAGACATTTTTAGAAACTTTCAGGAAAAACATGTTAAAAAACTTTCAATTTAAATTGAATTTAAAAAATTTCAATTACCGTATTCAATTCCGATGCGCCAAATTCTAAATTAATAAAGAAGTAATGTTTAATATTTCCCAAAAATAAATTCCCTTTTATTGGAAACGAGGCATTCCATATAGTCCTCAGGGGTGACAACGCATCTGCTGTTTGATTCTTAATTATGGATAAGTAGATGTAAATAGAGATTATTATATCCACTTACAATCCGATGGACTGTGTGCTCGTTTGTCGCCCTATTACTGCTATAAAAATGGCAAGATTATTTTAACCACTACAGTTTTCAGTAACTCGTTAGTTTTGACACCTATTTTATAGTGTTAAGCAAAATGCATCAACACTTCAAATATTATGTGAACATTTATAATTTAAACACAGGCAGATACAGTTACATCATGCAAGACACATTGGGGCTATTTGTATCTTGCTAATCTTGCATAATAAAATTTTTGTTTCGTTACGAGTATGTCGAGCCGAGGCTATTCGTTAGGCGCTAGTTGTAAGTGAAAAGGCTGAGGGAACATTGACATATTTAATTTAATTTAGGTGCAGACGTTTTAAGCGACATCTCTTCTTTGTTTTTGTGTAAAGCAAAATGTTTTATGAGACATTATGAGATATAAAATATAGGAAATTGAAGAACTTATTTCAATAGACGTCATGTAATAAACTTGAAATCATAAACACTTAATTGGTGGTATAATTAAATGCTAACATAGCCCACATCGCTATCTATTGTTTAATAAATATTTCCAGGTCCGTTCGCGCGCTCTAACCGTTTCCGTTTACATTTTGTTAACATTATGGATAGACCTAAATGTATTAACTACATGGCTCCTGTAGTCGATTTAAGAAGTTATGAGTTTTGTGTAACTCTCCAGGATAGAGTTAATGTTAACTTTGGTAAGAACATTATTTTTAATTCATCATATGTAATATATGCCCTAATTCGCGCGGATTATTTTAATTAGAAGTTTCAGAACCCTCTACTGCAAATCACTTCCATAAACCACAATAAATTATTTGAATTTTAAACAGTTTCGTTCAAAGAACCGTGCAGATTTTCGGCCCTAGAGATTGCTCACATGCATTTTACAGTGGTAGAGCCACGCGGCAGTTTTGCTGTTGCACGTATGGGCCGGCTCAAACCGGGGTGGTACCACGACCTCACAGAATACCGGCGTGAAGTGGAAGCTCTGCTTCCGCGTTTCGTCTGGTGAGTGCAGGTGGCCGGAGGCCCAAATTCCCCCCACCATCAACATGATAGCGGAATTAAATAATGATAGACTACCCCAGGAGGGTACCAGCACTCCTGGATAATTCCTCGCTGAGCATCCACGACCATGTTTCTCCACTTCTGAGCGTGGGTGCTCTGGCTGCCCCGCGTATTCTGGGGGGGGGGGGGCAAAATTCCGCTCAAGACTACAACTGCTCGGGGCAAACGGAGCAACAAGACCAAGGCGACCCCTGCCACGCTGTCCGTGAATTTCTGCAATATCAGGGGACTTCACTCTAACCTAAACGCCGTCCACTACCATCTCGAGACGGCGAGGCCGGCTCTGCTCTTTCTGACCGAGACGCAGGTGTCCTCTCCGGCTGATGTTTCGTATCTCTCCTACCCGGGGTACAAACTGGAACATTCCCTTGTGCCTCGGGCTGGAGTTTGCGTTTACGTCAGTCAGGACATCTGTTCTCGACGCCTCGACAGACTTGAAGGTTCGGACCTGTCCATCCTGTGGCTACGCGTAGACAGCGACGACATTCCGCGCGTCTACGGGTGCCTCTATAGGTCCCATAGCGGTAATGCCGAAACAGACCGACTCTTCGACCACGTCCAAATGGCTACAGATTCGTTGCTACAGCAGATCCGCTCCGCAGAGATGGTGATCCTCGGCGACTTTAACGCCCATCACGCCGAATGGCTTGGTTTCACGTTTAACCGATCAAGCGGGGAGATCTGTTCATGATTTTGCCTTGGCATATGATCTGGCACAACTGGTTACTTCGCCTACGCGGATTCCAGATGTGGAGGATCATGCACCTTCCCTGTTGGACCTTCTGCTGACCTCTCACCCGGACAGATATCAGATTTCCGTCGAAGCCCCTTTAGGCTCCTCGGATCATTGTCTTGTCCGGAGTGAGGTGCCACTCACGATGAAATCGCAGTCGCATTCTGCAGGCTGCCGCCGTGTTTGGCACTATAGGTCAGCCGATTGGGATGGGATGCGGTCTTTCTTTGCATCCTACCATTGGGGGCGGGTTTGCTTCTCGCCGGACGATCCCAGCGTTGTTGCGGATTCTGTCGCTGATGTGGTACTTCAGGGTATGGAACTTTTTACTCCTTCCTCTGTGGTGCCCATTGGAGGCAAATCTCAGCCATGGTTTGGTCGCTCCTGTAAAATAGCATCATGCTATAAGCAGGAGTGCTACCGAGCCTGGGCTGACGCATCAGCGTCCCGGGATGTAAACACCAGTGCTATAAAAAAGAAGTATAATTCCGCCTCTAGGTCCTTCAAAAGAGTCATTGCTAAGGCAAAGTCAGAGCACATAGGCAGAATTGGCGAGAAAATAGTTCGCCTTCCTTCTGGAACTCGTGCATTCTGTTTTCTCGTCAAGGCTGTCCAGGGGAATTTCTGTCAGCCATCTCTTCCATCTCTGCACAGGGAGGACGACTCACTGGCCCATACCGTAAAGGAGAAAGCCGATCTTCTAGGCTCTTTCTTTGCGTCCAACTCGACTCTCGATGACGGGGGGAGTACGCCGCCGACCATCCCGCGGTGTGAGTGCTCCATGCCGGAAGTGCAGTTCACACAGCGCTCGGTTCCCTCCCCCCAATTGTGCTGAGGACGTGTGCTCCAGAGTTGGCACCGGTTTTAACGCGTCTTTTCCGGTGCTCCTACTTCCTAGGCGTAGTCCCAAAATCATGGAAGACGGCTTTCGTCCACCCGATCCTTAAAAAAGGCGACCGCTCAGACCCGTCCAACTACCGGCCTATCGCCATCACCTCCTTGTTCTCCAAAACAATGGAGTCCATTGTAAACTGCCAGCTCATGAGGTACCTTGAGGATCACCAGCTGATTAGTGACCGCCAATACGGTTTTCGCCGTGGTCGGTCAGCTGGTGATCTTCTGGTCTACCTAACTCACAGATGGGCGGAGGCAGTAGAGTCCAAGGGGGAGGCATTGGTCGTTAGTTTAGACATTGCGAAGGCCTTCGATCGGGTTTGGCACAAAGCGCTTCTTTTGAAGCTCCCTTCCTATGGGCTTCCCGAGAAATTGTGCGATTGGATCACCAGCTTTCTTGCAGATCGGAGCATTAAGGTCGTTGTAGACGGTGCAAGGCTCCGATTGCAAGCCTATTAATGCTGGTGTTCCACAAGGCTGCGTGCTATCGCCAACGCTGTTTCTTCATACATATATCAATGATATGTTGCAAACCCGTAACATTCATTGCTATGCAGATGACAGCACTGGTGATGCTCTTTACACCGGCCGAGCCAATGTTCTCGGCGAAACGTCTCCGAGTGCCGGGACAAACTTGTGTCTGAAGTCGAGTCTTTGCTGAACAGAGTCTTGGATTGGGGGCGACTAAATCTAGTCCAGTTTAACTCCCAGAAGACACAAGTTTGCGCGTTAACCGCTTAAAAGAACCCCTTTGTCGTATCTCCTCAGTTTCATGGCACTCCCCTTGTTGCCTCAGCCAGTATCGGAATCCCCGGCGTTGACATATCGAGTGACGTGCAGTTTCGTGGTCACTTGCAAGAGAAGGCCAAATTGGCCTCTAAAAAGCTTGGCGTGCTCAGCAGAGCGGGACTGTATTTCATGCCGGCACACCGCCTGCAGCTTTACAAGGCGCAGGTTCAGCCGCACATGGAATACTGTATTGGCGGGGCCCCAGTACCAGCTCCTTCCACTTGACCGCATCCAGCGCAGAGCGGCTCGAATCGTCGACGACCGAGTGCTTTCCGATCGGCTCGATTCACTGGCACTGCGAAGAGATGTTGCATCTCTTTGCATTTTATTTCGCATATACCATGGAGAGTGCTCTGAGGAATTGTTCGGATTAATCCCAGCTGCCAAATTTCGTGAACGCACTACGCGGCAAACGTCCCGATACCATCCACACCATCTGGTTGCTTGGCGGTCCACCACAGTACGTTTCAAAAGGAGTTTTCTTCCGCGTACAACCTCTCTGTGGAATAGTTTACCACCGGCGATTTTTCCGGACCGATACGACCTGGGGACCTTCAAGAAAAGGGCTTACTCCTTTCTAAAGGGCCGGCAACGCACCTGCAATTCCCCTGGTGTTGCGGTTGATCATGGGCGGCGGTAGTCACTTAACATCAGGTGAGCCGCATGCTCGTTTGCCCCCCTCTTCTATATAAAAAAAGCCATCCCGCTACTTTAAAGACTTGACTTTCCTGGGATTTGTTGTCTTTGAAAATTTTAATTTGAATGGGAATTGTTTATTATAGTGGGAATGCGTGTAAGAGCACAGTTTTTTTCTTGGCTTTTTCTGATAAAATAGTTGCGTTTTAAGCAAGGTACCTATGTAAATTGTGAGTCATCGGGCCACAACTTCTATAGTTCTATATTATACTATATAAAAGGCTTTTTAATATTTAAGTCTACGGGCTTACCCTGTCCTTTGGGCATCTAAATAATATTTCTATGTCTGTTCATATGCTTGAAATTTCTTAAACTGAGGTATCAGTTTTAAAGATTTATGAGATATGTTTCTACTTTATATTTCAAAATGCATTAGAAAAATAATATTTTATTAATACTATCTTTATTGTTTTAGAAAGTTAACTTAAATCTTAATTTATTGACACCATCAACTATTTTGTAATTTTACCCACGACAGAACTGCGAATCACACACATTTAGTATGCGTTTAGGGTGAGAGATTGTTTGTGTGTGCCAAAGAATGTTCTCATTTATCTCCAAAATGGTTTGATCGATTTAGATAAAAGAAGAAAAGAAAAGGCGTGTTAAATCGCCAGCTGGCGCTTTAATAAACATTTTTCACTCGCTAAAATGAGACGGCTTGACATATTTAGATGAGGTTTTTGTAAAGTATTTTAAAATTTATTTCGAATGATTCTGATGAACGAAACACACGGTCAGTTCAACTGATCATTCTGAGACCGTTGATATTCTTTAAAATATTGGATTTTAGATATATCGATAATTATAAATATATCATTACTTATTGGAGTTTCATAATATATAAGTTTATTTATCGATTTATCGAAAATCCGATATTTAAAAAATATTAACAGTCCTAGTATGAACGGATTAGTTGGAATGATTAGTTGAACTGACCGTGTGTGTCGTCCATTAGATATGTTTGATTGTGGCAAACCAGTAACAAACCCCTCTCTATATAACCCCTCATTATGGCCAGTAAAATTGTATAGAAGCGCATTACCGCAGCTCAAAAGCTTGTTCACTCTTGCATGGCGTTTCCAAAGATTCTTCTAAGTATTGGGAGAAACGTTGCCAAGCTATCGTCCCAATTTGTTGTCAAAAATATCGATCAAAATAAACAGTTTAGTTGGAATAAGAGTAATAGTGTTCTATGGTTGGAATTCCCACGACTAAGGGATGTAGACTAGCCTTAATAATATTTTCATTGTATAAGTAACATATAACATGTATATTGTAAACGTTAAAAGTCTATACAAATGTTTTAGAGCACGGTGCGGCGTTGCTACAAGGTTACAACGTTACCGGATTTTTTTCGTGGGGCGAAAGACAAGGAAAAACTTTGCCATTCATTATAGTTTATATTCCAAAATTCAAGGACTGGTTGGAGGACATTGTTTCATTACAAAATATTTTATTATAACACAGGTTTTAGTAGGTAATAAAGATATATGAAAATTTTTGCGTTATTTTTCTTATCAAACTTGGAACGCTCGGTTTAGGAGTTAAAGTGTTTTACAAATAGCTTAAGGCAGTTTGATTTTTCTAAAGGAATAAAACCATGGAGTATAGAGGTAAGGAGGACAATCTCCCATAGGAGAATAGTTGAAAATATGTCCATCTGTAAGCAGTAATAACAGTTCAAAAACTTTCCATAACAGCGCTCGAGTAGCTCTACAGGGTATGGTAAATCGCCGTAAAATACGTTGAGAGTGATTTTGAAAATAAAAATTTTAAAAGCAATAAAATAATTATTGTAAAAAGAATTATGGTGAAAGTCTGTGCAATAAAAAATTATAAAAAGTTCTTTAAAATTTAGACTAGCTACAGTGGCGCCACCCTCATTCAAATCTTTCCTAGGGACATTTTTTAGATAGAGTCTGTACTTATAAAACATTCCCAGCTTTTGTGGTCAACTCACGCCTCTACCTACTACCAAAGAGTGTAATTATCTCGTTTTACGTACTATAGAATGAAAAAGCGTGCGTAAACTTGATATAAGTAAGCGATGTAGTTGGAGAATAAACGGGATTAATATTGGACCCTCAAACTACCACCTAATCACCGGTATGTGAAGTACATATATTTATTCTGTACTAGTTTTTCTTTCGATTTTGCTCGCGTGGATTATTTCACTTCATCAAAACGTGAGAATTTTTCTCAGAACGGAGCACTTTTAGATCACTCTGTTATCTGTCTCTCTGCCACAGACGTTCTTCTCACTACTTCTTCTTTCTCTCTTTCTCAGCGACTATTTCACGTACATGATTAATTTGTAATTTGGCATACAGTTATAATAATAATAATATCTTCCAGACGGAGTTTCGGCTAGGTTTGTTCTAATGTAAGCACAGGTGCATTCTCTCTTCCCTGGCCATAACTGTGACACCCGTCGGTAAATGGCAAAACTAAATCTATGGCTAGTTAAATTCTTTTTCTCGCAAAGGTTTAAGTACCTATGTCGATTAACAATAAAATTTTCACGAACTTAATTTTTGGTAAGCGAAATAAAAAAATATTTCTGTTATTAATTATCAATTTTGTCAGTCATAATTGAAAACGAAAAAGAGATTTATATTTTTTAGTTTTTTACAGTTTTTTCCCTTAAGTCTAAGATTCTAAATGTAAGCTTTATGTCTGTATTTCTTCTCTTTTTCTTCTTCACCAGTTTTTGCAAAATGCGCTGCTTCACGGTGTCTGTGGTGTCAGGATTTGTCTTAATCATCGTTTATCGCGCTTGGCAGATGTATAGACGACCACAGCACTCGAACAGACGTTTCGTACCGTCAACGCTACTATCACAGCTTAACTATCTTTAATCTGTGCTACTAACTTAATCGTCTGGAACACCCGCGATACGAAAAGGCGTGATCTCCGACCCACACGGTAGATATATGTATTTATGTAACTGCACATTATAACTGTTGTCCTGCCACGTTGGTCCAGTACTCAATAGTAAAACGCGACAGTTGATCATGATATGCAGACTGTCGAACTAAAACATCGGTTATTGAGTTTTTCTGTCGTTGTGTTTAGTAGCAACCCAGAGTTAGGAGATGGCAATGTTGTGTTTGAAGCGGTTTCCTCCAGTCGTGTCGATTTGCCATTCCATTGGACTATAAAAGTAAGGCAATATAATACGAGTAGTTTAGAAGATTTGAGAGAACAGATGAATGACATGACATGTACATAAACAACCTTCTAAAACTGTGACCATTCTTTTGGATTTGCCGTAGCTGGGTAATAATATTCACTTAAATCATCTGCGTCAACTAAAAGACACGTATACTGCAATCGTATCGATAATTAACAAATAACTATTTGTCACCCTCATATGCACATTACACGCACACTGGTGTATTTTCATTTTGGTCATCTCTCCATCGCAAACTTTTGTGTGCAGTTATACTATATTGTATTATATATACTAAATTATATGTAATATATATACTACATTATATCTATGGTATTGTATACCAAGACCCAAAAATTAAGTTTGTGTAGTGTTGGTTAGAGAAATTAGGGAGCAAATTGTTGATTACGTTATTGCGCTCATTTTATTGTTTATTTACAATATGAAACACAAGCGTACAATTTGCCCAATTATTTTCTTGGTTCGTTTTGAGAGTTCGTCCATTAGTTACCTAGTTTTTGAGATCGTCTATTTGTTGATTTGTTAGTTTGTCTGATTAAATAACTAACTGAATGTTTTGATCCTGCTTAGTTTCTTTCTTAATCTTGGCGCCAAAAAAGTATCAATAAATCATGATCAATAACAAAACAAAAGTAGATACTAATTCAACGCGAACGAAGTCGAGGGCACAGCTAGTACTATAATAAAACTCTAACCTGTACTAATTCTAAAATCTATCTGTACATTGAATATTTTTTGCAAATTTCAATTGAGGTATACTATACTATCGATAAAGACGCCAAAACAAAAAAATTCAAAACGTTGTCTGTCTGTCTGGACACGCATCACACAAAAACTATAAAACTAATTTTGATGTAACTTTATTACTATAATACGCAGAGATCGAACCATTGGAATAATTATAATTCTTCACGCTATCTATCATAGGAGTTGGGCAGTAGTCATATACTTATCTTTTACATCTACAAAAAGTTTTAAATTTTTTATCGTCGTGAGATTGTATAAGTATTGCATATCTGTCTCATCCTGCAAACAAAGGGAAACTAAGACTGAGCTCAACCGAGGGATGCCTTTCGAGCTTTATGTAATAGATATGATCGGGCTCAAATCAGTTTGATTTTCTACAATTAAGACATTTTCAGTAGCAACCCGGAGTCTAGGTTTTAGTAATCGTTGTGGTATTCATACTTGTGCCTCCGAAAGCAACTAAAGCCGCTGGTTCTGCACCCGATCTCTCTATAAAAGTAAAGTAAAGTTACAGCCTATATACGTCCCACTGCTGGGCTCAGGCCTCCCCTCATTTCTGAGAGGGTTTAGGGCAAGGAAGTGTCCGCCGCGCTGCCCAAATGCGTGTTGACGAATTTCACATGTCTTCGAAATATTTTTTTTTCTTATTCCTCAGACATGCAGGTTTCCTCACGATGTTTTCCTTCACCGCCGAGCACGTGGTAAATCAGCACTTAAAATTGCAATTAACAATTTCATTGGTGCCGGCGGGGATCGAACCCGGGTTACTCGCGTTTTGTTATATTTACTGCGAGCGTTAGCCACTGAGCTACCACGGCTCTATATTTGTGTTGAATTAACATCCCATCCGATTATGAGACTATGAGAGTGTCAATCTGTGCATCTGTGTATAGAAAGTCCATCTGTGCTTGCTGACACATTCGAGATTCATAATTCTGTCCTGTGTCTTTAAAGTATATGTATGTAATTCCTTGATACATACTCTTTACTGAAAGGTACATACATAATATCTATATATCGAAGACGAAGAAGAAGGCCTCTATGACCAACATTAAAAAAAACTTAACACTTAATTACTTAAAATATTTATATTTATATTACTATATTCTATGGTGGTAGGTACCTTATTTTATTTCAGCGCTAACGCCACCTAGTTATAAGTGTGCTAAGAATCTCCGGTGGAGGTTCGGTTGCCACCTACGACGACTCGACCTGGCAACATTTAACGCACGCACCCTGAGGACTGACGAGAAGATCCTGGAGCTGGACGAAGAGATAGACAAGTTGCGCTGGAATATTATAGGATAATCCGAGGTCCGAAGAGAGGGGGAGGACACGGTGATTCTCGAATCCGGCAACTTGTTCTATCACCGGGAGGGCGACCATCTGTCCCAAGGAGGTGACGGATTTATCGTCCACAAGTCTTTCGTCAACAACGTTGTAAAGATTGGGAGTGTGTCGACGAGGGTCGCGTACCTGATACTCAGAATCACCAAACGGTATTCGCTGCAGGTCATACAGGTTTACGCACCAACCTCGGCACATCCCATTTTGTTGGCCGTGTAGTGGCGGTTGAGAATATCCACTACCCCATATCTTCCCGTGGGTGTCGTAAGAGGCGACAGAGGGAGACAGGCAGGAGATGGGCAGCAGCATCTTGATAACAGCAACTGTACGACAAAAAATATCTGCGGTTGCCAACCCGCTCGCCAAGCGTGGCAACTATGGCTATATAATATGAACAATTACCTAGTTGTAAATAGCAATAATACTAACCTACACACTGATAAATAGAAAGCCTAACCGTTTTGTATAACAATTACCAGTGCTCAATTATTGTAAAGTTCTAAAATATGTATTATTGATAATACTCGTAATTTCGTTTTACTGATTTCCACACCACCATGCAATTAAAACAATTTTTAAACGCAAACACTTTAAGGTAAGATTCAAGGAAAATGAAAATAAATTGTTTTAAAACCATAAAGTTTTTATTATTTTAAAGCATTAAATATTTTTTCTACATAAAACTGAACAACCTCTGCCGCTCTCTCCCCTCTTCCGGTAAGGAGTTGTTTCGTGAAATCGCTAAATATTTTTCCTCCATACCATTTTGTACAAACTCTTCCCCTCCCCTCTCTTCAGTAAGGGATTATTTAGAAATCGTAAACACGCATAAATTTTTTTATGCAGTACCCATTTTTTGAATGTACGATTCTGAGCGCAAATAAAAGCACACTCTATTTCCTATCTCTAACAGTTCGATAGGATGTCAATCCGAAACGACCGCAGAAAGATCAGGCGTAGGACCCACAGTTTTCCGGGCTTTCTGAGGCACGAATGGTAGGGTTTCTTAAGAATAATGACGAAGCATTGAAGTGGTAGTTTCCGAAGGTTGTTGGTTTCGTGTTCATATCACGTCGGGGTCACCACTGTGGCCGTAGAAGGATAAGGGGAGATCTCCCACCGGCCAAAGTGTTCTGCCCGTGGAGTGGCCAATGCTCCGTGTGATAGTTTGGAAC